GCAGGTCGCCATCGAAGAACGCCTCGTCGTAGGCGTAGCCGTGCGGGCCCTTCGTCCAGCGCGTGTATATGTTGTCGAGCTCGTCGTACTGGCGCCTCGTGAAGTCCAGCTCCCATGGCATCGGCCCGTGCGTGGTCTTGCCCATCTTGTCGTCGGTGATGCCGATGGCGCTCCTCATTGAGCTGATGGCGCCGTTGATGTCGCGGAGCTGCTCCTTGAGGTAGAGCTCCGCTTGGCTGCGCTCCGCCTCCTCGTGTGGGTTGAGGCTCTTCGCATTCAAGCGGCCCAGGGTGGTCACGACCCTCTCCCGCTGCTTGTGGAGCGCGTGGAGGGCCTTCTTGCTGTGCTCGGTCGCCACCTTGAACGATGCGGCCGCACTCTGGAGCGTGTTGTGCGCGATCTCGAGCCTGTACGCCGCCGTGCCCGCCACTTGGTCCGCAGCTCCTCCCATGCCTCCTCTGTCGAGCGGCTTCTGCACAATCGTCGGCTGCAGATGGTCTCCTGCATCATGCTGCTTCGCCATCTCGCCCTTCTCCATGTGCGCCTGCGCCGCCATCGCCGCACTGGTCGCGCGCCCTCTGGGCGCTGGCTCTGGATGTAGGCGGGGTGGCCGCCAGCACTGGATGGGAAGCCGCGAAGATGCTCGAGTCGCAAATGTCCTCTGGTGGTATGTCGAGCTGTATACCATTCCTCGTTACCTTAGTTGTTCCCGCCTACTGTTGTGCACCTTAGATATTGTAGTCGTTTCCTTAGTTCCCAGTGGTTGGGCCGTAAGGAATCGTAGTAAGACCTTGATGTGATAGTAGGCGTAGGCACAGTGGTTCGCTGGTGTCGGAGTCCTGTGCCTTTCCTTAGTATGCAACTCTTACTCACACTATTCTCTGGATGTCGAGATAGGTAACATTTGTGATAGCTTAAGCAGGCAAGAGCTGGATGTAGCTGAGCGGGAGAGGAGAGGTCGAACCGTGGTCGGATCACAATCGCATGTCTGTGCTGGTTGATGTGGTATGGTAGTTCCCTGTGTGTGCTGTCGTAGTACTCGATGTGTACCCATTATCATGTACTGTCGTTCTGTGTGCTGTCCATTACGATGTCACGGTACTTCAGACTTCGAGCGTGCATCAACAATACTGTATGACAGGCAAACCCCGTATGTGAGTGACACTCGTAGAGAGCTGATTGCCTGGAGAAAGATGATAGGTTGGGAAGTGGGAGTTGGTGGGGGAGAGGGCGTAGGTAGTGGGAGCCCGTGTAATTGTAGGGTGACGGCTGCATAATTAGAAAGACCGCCGCCCCCCTCATTTTTTTGCCATAGGCTGGTAATAATCCCTTGGTCGTAGGTCCCAATAGTACGTAGCCATCCGATATAGTCAGCAACGAAAAGTTAGCACGAGCATTCCAAGGAAAAGTTAGCACCGCCTGGTAACTGTGCTATCTTCTTCGGTGCCCTCTTGGGCCTGAAAATCCTATCTCTTTGGGCGTTGCGGAATGGATCCAGGCCAGCGTGTGCTATCTACTCCTTGGAACACTTGTGCTAACTACTTTTCGCGGGTTGGAACACTTGCGCTAACTACTTTTCGCGGGTTGGAACACTTGTGCTAACTACTTTTCGCGGGGTGGGGTGCAGCTAGGGCTGGATCTCTACCCCTTCGAACCCTTCTCCTCCTCCTCATTTTCCGTTCCTCTCCCACATCGTCCTCCTCTCCTCTCCTCTCCCCCCCTTCCTGGGCATCCGAGGCAGAGAAGGAGGAGCAGGAGGAGGAGGAGGAATGCGTTCTTCCAAGCTGCGGCATGGCACAGGCAGGCCCCCTCTGAACAGGCGGGGCACCTACTCTCTGCTATTTAGAAGGTTGGCCCCCCCCTGAACGGGCGGGGCACCTACTCGCGCTTGGCGCATATCTTGCACAATGGCAAATATTTCACATTCCTGCGGTCCAGGCGGCCGGAAACAGGGGTTGGGAACCGGGGGTTCGCTTTTCCAGTCGAGGGCGAAATGGAGGAGAAGGAGGTGGAGGGATGTGGCGACGAGGAAAAGGAGGAGTCGAAGGAAAGAAGAGGAAGACGGATAAGGGGGAAGAGGAGAGGGAGGGAGGAGGAGGGGGGGAGGGGGAAGGAGGCACCACAGGCAGGGCAGTGGGGAAGGAGAAAGCACAGGCAGGGCAGGGCATGGGGGAAGAGAAAGCACAGGCAGGGCAGGGGGGCGGAGAGAGAGATTCAAGCCTGGGCGGGCCCCCGCGTTCCCAACCCTCAGCAGCATCGCGAGGTAAATTCAGGCCTTTGCAATCATCCCGCAAGTGGAAGGCCTTCCCAGAGGGCGCGGTCACCACCATCGTGATTTGGCTCAGGCTCGATCCAGGGGCCCTCAGGCGCGGCTCTGGCGGTCCGGGCGGAGGAGGGGTCGGGCTCGGCTCCGGTGGGCTCGTCGACGACGACGACGAGCGGCTGCCTGGTGGCCCTGGTGGAAGCGGTGGAAGCGCCACAGCTGGCGGGGGCGGTGGAGAAGTCGGGCTCGGTTCAGGGGCCTTCGGCCAGCGACGACCGATCCAAACGCCCGCAATGAAGCTGAGCAGCAAGAGCACCGAGCCGAGCAGCAGCCACATCCGATGCCGATGCTTCTGTGGCCGGGGGGGTAAGGGGCCCACGGCGCGCGCCGCGAAGCTCGCTGAAGAGGCACTGGCGGCGGCGAGGGGGCCCCTGGCGAGTGGGGCGAGCCCCGCCCCATCCCCCTCTTCGGACGACGACGACGACGACGACGACGACGAGATAGCACAGCCCGCGCAAGGGGAGGGGGAGCCCAGAATGGCCCTCTCTGTTCGCACCACTGAGCCGCACGTGGCAGCTCCTCCTCCCCCTCCTCCTCCTCCTCCACCAGGGGGCCGCCAGAAGGCCGCGGAGGGCGCCCGAAGGCCGCTGAAGGGCCGCTGAGGGTCTCTCTCTCTCTCTCTCTCTCTCTCTCTCTCTCTCTCTCTCTCTCTCTCTCTCTCTCTCTCTCTCTCCCTATCTCTCTCTCTCTCTCTCTCTCTCTCTCTCTCTCTCTCTCTCTATCACTCCCCCTCCCGCCCTTACTGGCCAGGGCAGATAGCACGAGCTGATCTGGATCTGATCTGACCTCCCACTCCTTACCCTTCGAACCCCAGGATAGGGGGCAGGAGTGGATCAGCGAGTCTTTTTCTCTCTGTGCTCTGGAAGTGGGCCAGCAGATGCCTTGCTCGCCGCACCCGCAACCAGTCCAGGTCTCTCCCGCTGAGCGCCCCCAGGCTCCACGCCAATCCTGGATGCCAAATCGCCAGCTGGTTGTTTTCCTGTTTTGGCTTCCAGGATTTAGAATCATCTGCTGGCACGCCTGTCCCAACCAGGCAAAAGCGGGAACTTAAAACACCTGGCAGGCCCGCCCCAGGCCCACCTGGTGCGCCTCAGCGGCGCCCAGAGAAAGAGAGAGGAGCAGGAGGAGGAGGAGGAGGAGGAGGAGGAGGAGGAACTGGAGAAGGAGGAGAAGGAGGTGGAGGAAAGCCCGCGCCCACGCCCGCGCGTCCGCCGCGCCCGCGCATGGGGGCGGCGGCTGCGACGCAAACGAACCGCTCCCTGGTCGCGCTGCCACTAGCAGCTGCACAGGCCACAGGGAAAATGGCTACTCCTCAGGGCCAGCAGTGTGAACTGCGCACTGCTGCCATGCCCAAGCGCTCCCCGCCGCCTGGGCTGCCTCGCTCGTGGGGTAGTGCTGGGGCCAGGCGAACGTCTTGCTCTGGAAAAAGAGCGGGAGGGACGGACCAGGGGGGGGGGGGGGGGGGGGGGGGGGGGGGGGGGGGGGGGGGGGGGGGGGGGGGCGGGGGGGGGGGGGGGGGGGGGGGGGGGGGGGGGGCGGGGGGGGCGGGGGGGTGGGGGGGGGGGGGGGGGGGGGAGGGGGGGGGGGGGGGGATGGGGGGAGGGATGGATAGGGGGGGGGGGGGTGTGTGGAGACACAAACACAACTCATGTAACAATGTGGGGAGGGGGGGGGGGGGGGGGGAGGTGGAGGGGGGGGGGGGGGGGGGGGGGGGGGGGGGGGGGGGGGGGGGGGGAGGGGTTTGTTGTTGTTTTCTTTCCCTCGCCGGGAGGCGGCCATAGCTTCGAGAATAGTGGGCCCCTCGGCAGAGCCGAAACCAGCTGCATTGCGCAAGATTTTCGTGGGAACCCCCCTTGTCCCCTGCACCCCCTTATCGCTCTGTGCCGTATACCCAGCTCCTCAAACTTAGCACAGGCAGAAGGGAAGGGGGATCTAATCCCCCTCCTCCACGATCCTCCCTGTCCTGTTCTGCCTGTGCTATCTCCGTCGAGGTTCGACGCTCGAGGTTCGAGGATCGAGGTTGGAGGTTCGAGGATCGAGGGCCAGGGTTTAAGGAGTTCGATCGGCCCATGCAATCCCGAGGCACTTACACTGGCCCACGCCGGAGCCAGTGGGCAGCCCTGTGCGTGGGCACCTCTCGTACCAGTACTGCCACTTGTCACCGTGGGCCTGACGGCGGCCCCCATCGGGCAGGTGATGAGGCAGCGCCGGCGGCGTCGCCACCGGAGCCCTCAGCGCGCCCTTGCGTCCAGCCTCGTACTTCAGGAACTCGTCGACAGTTAAGTCGTTCAGCTCCTCGAGCTCGACTGCCTCGCCCAAGCCCCCTCCGCCGCCGCCTGGCTCGACTGCCGCGCCCAAGCCCCCGCCGCCGCCCCCTCCGTCGCCGCCTGGCCCAGCCAGGGGCACTGCCGCGCCGCCCTCGGCCATCACGGGGTCGACGTCACCACCTGGGTTGAGGCCGCAGCTTGAGAGAGAAGGAAGGCGAGGTAAGGCGAGGGAGGGGGGTCGACGACGACGACGACGACAGCGACGGCGACGGCGACAGCGACGGCGACAGCGACTGCGAGGGGAGACAGCACATAGCACAAGCTGGCGCAATGGGGTTGGGGCGTTTTCCCTGGACCCCCATCCCCGCGCCTTCGTCGTCTTCAGGCTCGGGGGGCGGTTCTGGTAGGGCGTCCAGCGCGAAGATGGCAGGCATTGGGTCAGTACCTGGCAATACCTCCACGCACCGAATGGGCACGAACTCACCAGGCGATAGCGGGTCTACGCGAATGCTCGGAGTTGCAGGGTCGAGGCGAAACGCAATACCATGCTTGGTCGCCCCTTTGTACTTTGGCAGCTTCATGAGTTTCTCTCTCCCCCTGATCTCACGATGCTGTGATGGATTAAAGAGAAACGTGTAGAAGCGATTCGAGTTGACCTTGTCAACAGCGGCGGCGGTGGCTGCGACCGCCTTCGCCTTGGCCGGGCCGTCCTCCAGCGCCTCAGCCTGGCGGATGGGACCCCCATATCCCCCTTGGGGCCGCGACGACGACGACGACGACGACAGCGGCGGCGGCGACAGCAGCGGCGGCGACGACGACGACAAAACCGTCGCCTCCCTCCGAGAGCCTCGGCCTCCCCCAGAGGGCCTCGGCGTGGCCCGAGAGCGTCGGGCCCAGGGCGGCGGCGCGAAACGCCCTGCCCGCCCTACACAGGAGAGTCCAGAGCAGAGGGGGGGAGTCGGGGGCAGGTTCTTACGACATCTAGTTAGCACAGCCTGGTGCATTGCAGATCTCTGATCCCCCCAGCCTTTCATCTCCTCTGGGTTTGTTTAATATATAGGTGTGTGTATATATACATATTTAGCTGCAAAGTCTGGCGGTCTGACAGGGGTATCTTTTTGATGCACCAGGAGAAGGGATGGAAGAGGAGGAGGAGGAAGAGGGGGAGGGAGAGAGGTTTCACGACGTCTAGTTAGCACATCCTGGTGCGCACCAGATCCTGAGCCCCCCTGGGCCCCCCCAGGAGGAGGAGGAAAGGGGGAGCCTTCGTCTTAGCTGCCAGGGCCGCTGCCACTTGGTTCCGATGTGAGTACAGAGCGGTCTCCAGGGCAACGCACATGTACTTCGGGAGCATCTGATCGCCCAACAGCCACACCCGGGTGTGGGGGAGCTCCGCTGAGTGGTCATCATGGCGCTTCTCTGGGTCGGGCTCGACGTCGGGCTTCCCGTCCAGCATAATGAACTCGGGCGAGACGCGACGACGACGACGAGGAGGAGGACGACGACGACGACAGCGACGACGAACGACGACGACAGCGACGACGACGACAGCGACGACAGGATATTTGTGGTCCCCCTGGCAGCCTCGGGCAGCCTCGGGGCAGGCCGAGGGCCCGGCGGCGGACTTGGAGGACAGGTCGAGGGGAAGGTGGAGAGAGCCGCGACGACGACGAGATAGCACAGCCCGCGCACGGGGGGGGGGAGCCCCAAATGGCCTTATATAGATGCCCTAAGATGCCCTAAAACGGCCCAGAAGAACGCCCGGGACGGCGCGAGGCCCCAGATGGCTCCACAACAGGCTTCCTCCTCCACCTCCATGGGGAAAGGGGGGGGGGAGGGGCTTCAGCGCCTCGGATGCATCCGAGACGCCGACAGTGGCGGCGACGACGACGACGTCGAAAAATGCACACGTCCGAACGATGCCGAGACACGTCCTTTGCAAAGCGGGGTTCCAGAGATAGCACAGCCCGCGCAGGGGGGGATCAACTGGGGGAGGGGGGAGGGGCCAAGACCCTGAGGGTCTGGCCCTCAGGGTCTAGGAGGAGGAGGGAGAGGAGGAGAAGTGCAGCACGTCGATTGCTTGAGACGTCCCCGGAAAGGGCGCCCAGCCCGATGAGCAGGAGGAAAATGAGGATGGGGGAGAGAAGGAGCGATATATATATATATATGTATACACACCCTGGCCTTTTTGTACACCTTGGCCGCCTGCTCGTCGATAAGGTCCTCGCCCCTGGGCTCTCGGTTGTTCATCTGCGCCATGGACTCTTCGCTCACGAGGCCGACCGACAACCAAGCCCACTCCAAAAGAGTCTTTGGCAAGTTGCGCCACGCCCAGAGGCCGCTCAGCACAACCTGTCAGGAAAGCGGCTCCCAGAAGCCGAAAAAAACTCGACGATCCTTCTCTTTGGCGGCCCCGCCAATGCCCCCCCGGGAGGCCGAGGCCGACGAGCGACGACGACGGCGACAGCGACGCCCCCCGCCGCGCGCCAGGCCAGGGCGCCGCAGGCCGATGGGCCGCCAACGGCGCGCGCTGGCGCCCAGCCGCCAGGCCCGGGGGATGAGAAGCGACGACGACGACGACGACGACGACGGCAGCGGCGGCGGCGGCGACGACGAGGGCATCCGCCAGGCGGAGGGGCCTGCCCACAGCGCGGTTTCTCGCCATTCTCCCGAGAGACTCCACTATAGTCACCAACGAAAAGTTAGCACAATATCGATCCAGCCTGTGCTATCTCTGAGAACGCAGGGTGGCAGGGCGGCGGGTAGCCGAATGCCAGATGGATATATAGATATATATATATACATATATATATATATATAAGTTCGGGGTGTGACAGAATCGAGGAACGTGAACTTTTGATGCCCCATCGGACCTCTTCTGGCGTTCCCAGGCGCCGATCTGCAAATCCTGATTCATTGCGAGCAATATCATGAAGTGCTGCGCGTCGCATGGGGTTAGCATTGAATCCAACTGCTTCGGCCTCGTAAGCATCGGTCAACCTGACTGCGGGGAGGACAGGTCGCAAGGTAACGTTTTAAAAATATCGCATTCGGGTCTCAGGGGGCCTCTCGTTCTGGAACATCCAAAGCTTTTTGTAGCCTCAGGGGGCCCAAGGGACATCGGGGGGCCCGCGTCTTGCATCTCGCCCTCACCCGCTAGCACCAAGGGGGGCGGTTAGCACAGCCTGGCCAGGTGGGCGGTTAGCACATCCTTCTTCTCCTCCTCCTCCTCCTCCCCCTCCCCCCCCATGCTCCTCCTCGCCCCCTCGTCCCAGGCTGTGCTATATGACTGAGCGCCACCGCGCGCTTCGCACGCACCTAAGAACAGAGGAGTCGTCGTCGCCCCCCCCTCTTCCTCCTCCTCCTCCTCCTCCTTCTCCCCCCCGCCCGGCGGACCTGCGCCAGTATGCGTGTATCTTATCGCATGCTTGGAGTACAGCGGTGCCGTGCGGAAGAATCTGCTTCGCGATCAGGTTGTGGTCCTCCAGGAACTTCTCGCGCTGGACATTCCCACCGCTCCCCTCGTTTCCCGAGAATGAATCATAGACTAGGGCCCCTCTGACGGCGCGCGTCAAGCCCAAATCCTTGCGGCGCTGGGCGAAGGCTGGTGCAAAGGCACCCTCCCACATGCGCAGAGTTGAATCTGTGTCCATGAAGTGGGTAGCTATGCCGCTCATCATGCAGAAGATTTCCCCCTGGTACTTGTTGTTCAGCTCAGCGACGGTGCTCGCCTTGAGTGGCCCGTTCGACCCGAACACGTAGATGAGGGGCCCTGTGTGGCCGCTGGCCCACACTGAGGTGACGCAGGTATGTGGCAGCCGGGCCCCGGCCACAGGGATGTTGGAGACGAAGTCAGGATCGGCCTCGACTTCCTCATCAGTGGAATCGCCCAGGCACTCGTAGTCCAGGTAGGTGTTGGCCTCGTCGTAG